ACATATAATTGATTAAGTGGGGTAAGAATTTGACTTGTATATATTGATTATGTTGGTGGTGATACTTAATTCTAGATGTTTTTATTATTTGATTTTCTTTTGTTAGTAGTAGTACATACATATAATAATTCCAACCCTTTATTTGATTGGATCAACTATTATTATTCATATCAACCCAATATATATACTATCTTCTTTAAGGGATCGACCCTTACTTACCCTAGTACATAATAAGGAGGTTTAGTTAGGTATTATTTTCGTTAGGTGTGTGACCGCCTACCAAATTTTGGCGTCGTTGCTAGGGACTAACGGTTTCAATGCAATGGTCATTAGTACTGCGATAACTTGAGGATACAAATGGTTTGAGCTTAAAAACTTGTTTTCTAGTTGAATTATAATTTGATATTTGAACATAAGTGAATGAATAGGTGTGGTAAGTTAAAAAAGTTTGAAAAGCTACGAATTTAAAAGCTAAATAATATACTAACTATAAATGCAAGTGATATTCATCCATCATAAGCCTGGTATGTGATATGAGATTAATTTGGATGTAAGTGGGATTAAGCTTCTGTGAATCAGGTGTGTTTCCTAAAAAAATTTGTTGTAAGAGTTATACAAATACTTTTATTTTCTTCCATAGAATTCATGGTAAATTCCAAGAAGGCGTTAATTAAATTGCTTAATAACATATATGCATTAATGCTTGTATTTTGATGGATGGATATATTAAAAAAAAATCCAAACTTAAACAATATTGACAGGGTAAAGTCGTATCCCCTAATCAAAAGTAATTACCTAAGTCCTCTAACTAAAGTAGATAGGGAAGTAGGGTCGAACTCCACAGGGAAACAAGTCTTTCTATTCCTAATTAACTAATATAATCTAGATTATTAGGTAACCAATATGTGAATTTGAATGTAAAACTAAACTACGAAGATTAAGAATAAGGAGAGAATAATATATAAAAGGATCTAGGGCATAGGTTCACCAATAAATAATATTCCAGGGTAGAATATAATAATCATTCATCAATGCATATATTAATCAGATTATAAAGGGCTTTCTGTACGTATTATAATCACACAATTAATTTACCGGCATTAAATCTCATCTTTCGAATCTCGACCTAACCATTTATAAATCTACCTACCTATTGAAACTAGATCTAAACATCAATTCTCATTTGTCGAATCTCAAATCAATATTGTCAAACTCATGCATAAAAGATCAGGCCTAATCTAGTCACAGAGCATTAAATCAATCAATAGGAAATTAATCTAGCATTGGCAATCAACAACAATAAATTACCCCTTCATATTATTTATGGATCCCCATAAACCCTCGAAAGAAAACTACTCACACATAATAGAGACTAAACTAATCAAAGCAATAAAGCAAGACATGATTAAAGGAATAAAATAAACAACTAAGATTAAGAGAAGAGAAATCGTTACCAAAATAAATCTGGAATTAAGAGTAGATTAAGAACAAAGGTTTTAGAGAAAGAAAATCTAAGAAAACAATTAAGAGTATAGAAAGAGTAAAAACAGAGAGAGAGATAACTCCTAAAATCGTATTACGGAGGAGTATTTATACTCCGTACAAATCCTAAACTAAAACAAACTTAAACAACAAAATTAACTCCTAATATTTACACGCGCCCGATCGGGCGAGGCACCGCCCGATAGGGCGCGCCTTTTTGCTTTTCAGGTTGAATCTCGCGCCCGGCCGGGCGCGTCACCGGGCGCCGACCTTTGCTTCTCCCGCCCGGCCGGGCGCGCCTCCGGGCGCCAGCCTCTTTGGCCGGGCAGCTCTCTTGGGCCACTATTTGGACTACGATTGGGCTCCAATTCTTCGGGCCAATCTGGGTTTCCTCTTCCGGTCTTGAATACTCGGTCCAAATGCCCCGGTATCACCTATACTGAGCCCTTAATCACCGGTTTGATGACTCTAACCGGCCCTGGGCTATAAAATCCGATCGTGCTTCTCCAATGCTCGTGATTGCTCCAAAATATCTCGGGAAAATACTCCAAAAGTGTAAATCCCTGCAAAAGTCAACCAAATCTACGAAAACACTAGAAAACACTAATTAGTAATAAAAGTGGCTCTAAAGAGCCAAAAACACTACTAATTATGACCAAGAGACGGGGGTAAAATACTATATAAAATAGACACATCAAATATCTACCACCAAAGTTGGTTGCTAGGTTGTAGTACTAATTATATAGGTACATAGGGAGAATGATCTCAAATTAAACCAGTTAAAATAGTATATAAATAGGGGGAGATATATCTAAATGATTTAATTAATTAATAAATTTACTAATAGCCTTCCAAATCTATCACTCGAAATGGAGGGGAAAATGGTTTTCTACAAATCCAAGAAGAATGTAGTAGCCATTCTTTTCATCCTAGCTCTAGGTAATATAAATAATTTCTTTGTAATCACATATGATGAAATTAATTAGTCCAGACCATTATATATTTATAGGTGTTTTGATCATTATTAGATAAACTTTATCATCTAAGTACTAATGGTCTATTCAATACAGTGGTTGATAATTATTGATGGTGGTAATGAGAATTAATTCAATGTAATTTGATGAAAACAAAGTAGCATCATAATGAATGTGGTTTTTTTTTCATAAATCAAGGTCAATTAACATTACATACCATCTTTGTCAAAAAAATAAAAAAAAAATTACGTACCATAGATCATAGTGTCTGAATTGAATCTCTTATAAACTTACAACACACATTTATGTTCATTACCTTGATTTATTACTGCATACTACATATACGAAATAATTCGTAAGATTATTAACACTGTAGATTGATGCTATATGTAAAACTTTTGCAGTGCAAATCATGGTTGATAAATCTGAAAGTTGTGGTATATATTACTGGAGAAAAATGTTCATTTTTCTTATTTTTTAATAGTTGTTGTCCGGGATATAGGTACAGCAGAGGTGCTGGTCACAAATGTATAGAAGGTAAGTGGCAAACTATGTCATTATTTTCTTATGATATAATTGAATTGTGATAATTTGGTTCAGATCAAATTATTATTCTTAGTCGAGTCAAATTTTGACACTTTTACTCCTTATGTAATATGCTTCGTAAAAATTTGTTTGTAGACCCTAGGGGTGTCCATAATTCGGATTAAAACCGAAATCCAATCCAATCCAAACCGAATTATCAATTTGGATCGGATCCGAACTTAATATCGGATTGGATCATATTAAGATTTTTTGAAAATTCGGATTTTCGGATTGGATCGGATTGATCCTAATTGGATCCAATCCAAACTAAAAACCGAATTGTAAAATTAGGGCTTGTTTGGCATTATTTTTTATTTTGAGTTTTCAGTTTTTTGTAAAAGAAAAAACCAAAAACAAGAAACAAGAAAAATGTTTTTCACTTTTCTGTTGTCAGTTTTCAAAATTAGCATGATTTTAATAAGTTTGACTAATTTTTTATTCATTATATGACATACATCATACACTTTTAAAATACAAAAAACCAAAAAACTGAAAACCGCAACAATGCCAAACGAACCCTAAGCTTGTATAAATATGGATTTCTTTGTTTTTCGATGTTTAGCTCAAATAGTTGCTATGACATAAAATAAATTAGGGGGACTTTGTATTAATTAACTAATGACTTGATGTTGATGAAATACTGATTTTAATCATGATTTTGAAGACTTTTATTTATATTATAGCTTTATTTTTTAATCGTATTAGGCGCTAAAAAATAATGTCTTATAATTCGGATTTTCGGATCGGATCCAAATAACCAAATTTTAATTCGGATTGGATTGGGAGAGAAATTCGGATCGGATCGGATCGGATCGGAAAATTGAAAACCGAATTATAGTTTGGATTAAATCGGATTTGGACTAAATCCAAACCGAAAACCGAACGGACACCCCTAGTAGACCCCAAGCAACATTGTGTGCCTGCAAGGGGATTCTGCAGTGATTTCAAGCGCTGTTGTGGAAAAATCAGATGTCCAAATGCTCTTCTTTCTTCAAGCCATTGTAAACAACCATGATTATCACAATGCTCGTTTATGCGGAGCATTATTTCATTTGAGTTTGTTGGATTGACTATTTTAATGGTTATTCTAGCAAATAAATACGAAGTACTAAAGACATAAAGTACTCATTTATCATTGTAACACTAATTTACAAAATCATATTGTAATGCACTTGAATTTTTTCATGTGTGATTTGGAAAATATGAGAATATAAACATTTGAATTAATGTAAGATATTGTTCAAATTTAATCAATAATAGCCTTAAGCCATTAACTTATCTTTTGTAACCCTTGCACCATTATTAATCAATCTTAAAGCTTTCATCTTTATTATTGCATTATTAAATCATAATTATTAAACCAGAAAATATATGTGCAAAATCACACTCCCATAATTCCTGTACGTATGTCTTCTACTCTTCTTAATAAATTTTCGTATTGGCCTTTGATAGTTTGATAATCATAGTCATTGAATGTTTTTAGTTTCATTTTAATTGAATAATTATTTCCATACATAGTTGAATAGATGAGAACTAGCTACTATAATTGCTTACTACAGTAATTCTTAGAGCTAATCTTCTATTTACTTGTATTGTGTGTTATCTACAAGATGATAAAAGCCTCTAATACATAAGCTAATTAACATACTTGTACTAATTATAGCCGCAAGTGATATACTACATGGACTTTTCTTTTCTTTCAAAACATCATGGAAAATTCCAACAAATAATTGTAGGTGGATTTTGCATTCATGCTTGATGACTTTCAACAAATTGATAAATTAAAAATAATAATTCCATATTTAAACAATCCAGCTCTACCATGTTGGTTGCCAGATAGTAGTACTAAATATGTAGTGATATTAGAAATTAAATTAGATGATAAACCAATAAAAATTGCTTATAAATAGGAAGGATTTTAGCTTATATATATATATAAGACATAAACATATTGCTAATATTTTCCCTTAATATCACTCAAATTGGAGGGAAAAATGGCTTTCTACAAATCCAACAGAAATGTAGTAGCCATTCTTTTCATCCTAGTTTTAGGTAATCAGTTAATTACATTGTAAATTAGCTACTAGTCGATTAATTATACCATATTTGTTTTTTAGAACAAAGTTTAATTATTAGACAAATTTGAAATCTAATTCATTTAATTACTAAGTTTGTTAACATGTTAATGCTATGTTTGAAACATTGACAGTGCAAATCATGGTTGATAAAACTGAAGCTGATTGTGCCGATAACGGTGAACCTTGTGCACATTTTTTAGGAATTACTGATTGTTGTGTGGGATATAGGTGTAGCAAAGGTGCTGGTTACAAATGTGTACGAGGTAAGTGGCAAAACTTTGACAATATTTTCTAATGACATAGTTAAATTATACATAGAATTTAATATTTTTTTCTTTAAAAAAAAAAAACATTAACTTTATACTTTGTAAGTACATGGTATATGTCTTAGTAAAAATTTATAACCCGTACTTATAAAATTATTATTTTAGATGTTGCTGGCATAAGTTGAAATATATACTAGTATATAAATATAACCCTTTTTCTTTCACTAAAGCATAATTAAATATAGTAATGGTCAAAATAGCATATTGGTGAGTGTTATATCAAATTAATATTTCATCCGTTCCATAAATATTGCAGCATAGAGATGAGACATGAATTTAAAAAAAAAAAAAAAATAAAATAAAATAAAATAAAAGCATTTGCAATTAGGAAAATATTACAGTATTTGTGAAACTTATTACTCAAATGATATTTGTTCATTGCAACATTATTTGTGGAACGGAGGAAGTATAATTACATCAATCTTTCAAAAAAAAAAAACATTAATGTTTAATGTCGTTGATTGAATCTTTGTTTGTAGACCCGAGTCAACACTGCTTAGATGAGGGGAGAAAGTGTCATGTATTTTCCAGTTGCTGTGGAAAAAACCAGTGTACACCACAAAGACCAACTCAACTCTTTACAGGTCGTTGTGTACCACCAAAATATTGATTTAAAATATCACAAGGAAGGTTCTTTGAGTTTGATACATTGTCTATTAAGATGCTTCTTCCTAATTAATCATTATAAACTCGGTTTAATTCTTTCCCAAATGGAAGTATAATTATGCAAGCTAATAAAATTTATATTTTTGATAAAATTTTGTATTTACTTTATTCATTTTTCTCTTTACACATGACAATATTCAAATTTATCTTATTTCATTAGAATACTTTGTTGTTCAAAAAAATTAATATTTCATTAGAATATTGGTTTTGTTAATGAGATGTATCCAATTAATTCCCCAGATAAACAAATTTGTTAATCAAGGGGTATAATCGTCTTTTCAAGTACCAGTGGAGGAATACATGCGTCTTTTCATGTACTAATTGAGGGTACATGTGTAATTTCATCATCGAACAGTAAAAGCATGTTACAAACAATAATTGAACAGCTCACCAAAAGTACTGAATAAATGACCATACTTTTTCAATATATTTACTAAAATGCCAACATATTAACAAAAATTCGTTTATATGGCAGATAAGCTTATATTTGCCCTTTGTTAATTATTGTTTTGACACAAATGAATAGTTATTTGTGCATTGTATGGATGCTAACCTAATTACATATCAACGTGCTTATATATCCATAACTGGTGCTACTAACAATACACAGATTATAAAAAATGATTATTAGAGACGTACGTGAAATAATGAAAATACTTGTGTTATAACATATGCGAAAAACACTAACAAAATATTTTTAAAAAAAATAGAACAAAGATTTTACAAATGAGTTAGCTACATCCACATACCAAGAGGAGAATTTTATATAAATATATAAAACAAATTAAAATAGATCGAAATTAGACCCAAATAAAGAATTTCGTAGTCTACATATTAAATGGTTGATTGAAGGAGCTAACAGAATCAAGCTCTATTCTAGCTAATGACAAATTTTCATCAACAAATTCTACAGCATGCATATACAACGTTAAACCCTAAGAATAACCAATCTTGCATTGTCAAGTCCAAAAGTGTTCCCCATATGCCAAATTTAAAGGTAAATAATACACAAAATTGGACTAATCTCATAGATTTGAGGATCCGGTGTCAAAATTCATGGGATCAAGGACGCATCTCTGTAGACACCCATTTGTGTCTCCCCAAAACCAAACCCAGTGATGAATACCTTTCACGTCGAATCATAATCGAATGAGGTGAAAGTGTGAAAAGTCTAGTGTTGCAGTTAGTTTTTGTTAAAAACTCTTTCTTTTTGTTTTCGAAAATTCACTCTATTTTATGAAAACGTCCATTCCAGTTTAGTTTGGTCCATGATAAGGGTCCAATAATGGTGTAGTTGGATGGGGCTTGCAAAGACCTTTCCAACGATATATTATAAGCCCAATTCCGATGAATATTGAGGAAGTTATGGCCAAAATACTAAACTGGGCTCAAACCGGATTTTACCTACGACCCAATGATCATGAGGAGGGTCCAAAGGTTTAATCCTATTCCTAAACTAATTAGGATTGATTAGAATCTTCTACAAGTTTCTAAAATATCTTAATTATCCTTTTTTGAAAAGATAAGATTAAGGAATTTGATTTAAATATAAACTTTCCTTTTTTATAAAACTTTCCTTTTTTAAAGTCCTAATTCTATTCGGATTTAAACATGTTCAAAGACAGTCAGATATTATTTTCGTGCCTTATATTTTTTATCCAAATTTTATATGGTTGGATAGATCTTTAAATTATCTTTCCAATGATATATTAAAATATTAAATCCGAGCTATAACGGAAAAGATATGAATAAGATATCAAACTCTATCCAAAACTGACATTGTCTCACTATTTCGTTTATATCTTTTATTCTACAACATATTTTAATCTGATTCTAATTGGGTTAGAAATTAGACTTCAATATCTTTCCAACGACATCTTATTCCGATTCTTGGATCAAAAGATATAATAAAAACAAAATCCGCAAAAACTGCTGTCTACGAGTTTTATTTCGATTCGAATTTGGATTCTTTTCTTAATTCTTCGACCCTCTTTTTTCCTATAAATAGAGGTCATATCTCCCCTTTTTCAATCATCAACTCTCATCAAGATTTTTTTAATTATTCTCTCTCTCTTTCCTTTTCAAAACCTTGTTTTTTTAATACAAAATTTCGCATTCACGAGATCTAGAAACACCTAGCCATATTCGAAGTTGCCTTCGCCCTAGACGTGAAAGGTTTTAATTTCTGAGGGTTTGGTCCCAAATCTCTCTTTCAATTATTTAATTTAATTTTTTTGATTATTATTTTCCTTGAAGTTACTAACGTGTGTATTTTGTTATTAGAAAGAGGTACGAGGCATCCAAGTAAGTGCTTTAATTGATTAATTGATATTATGATGTAGATATCATGCTTAGATTGTTATTTTGATTCCTAGTATCATGTCTAGGGTAACTTTAATATCAAGTATGATTAAAAGTACGATGCTTCCTATATTCTTCCTAATATTTATGATTGTTCGTATCATGTTAGGGCTAAAGCTTTGATTTTTATTGCTTAGTGACATGCTAGGGTTTGTTATTAATCTTGTTAGTATCATGCCTAGGATCTTGCTATGCTTTAACATGATTATGATTGATATTATTATTATTATAATTATTATTCATGATATTGATTATTTATTATGTTTCTTGATATGTATCATATTTTATATTCTTTATTGCTTGATCACACCTTTTATTGCGTGTTTAAAGGGAATTTGGTACTTGTAATCACGCTTAATAAGATAATTAATAATCTTGTTAGGGTTAATTGTGATTATAATTCAAGTGATCGCCAATGATAGTTTATTTGTGCATTAAATTCAACCAACATAGATTAAACAGGTTTAGGGTTGATCCTATTGATTGCATGTTAGTCAGAAAGCACACATGAATACGAGCAGAATAAAGTAGAGGCCTATTATTAGGGCAGGTTCAATCTCTTTTAGGTTGGATTTGTACCTTCATCCCCGAACCCTTATTTGGTTCATGACCTTATGGAGTTGACGATCTCTTGGATCGTTAAGGGGTGTAACCTTCACCTCGTGATGGTTTACAAGTTCCTTAAAAACTTGTTGGTGACTCTTTTGCTCTATCTTCTTCCCTTTTGGACGCCACCGTACTTTAGTGTATGATCACAGTGGAGTACAAGCTAGTGGGATTTTAAAGGCTTGAAATTATTCCCTACAATCTCGAAATCGGTTAAGGTTGTTTGAACTTATATATAAATACGCCCATTAGTCTATCACATATAGTCTCGTGGTGAACTTAAGTCAATGAAATGGGTCGTCATAAGTTGTAAATAGACAAAATGACAGATTAAAGGCAAAATAGATGGTTCCATCCAACAAATGGCCTATTGAGGTGTCTTGACATCTGTGTGAATTACCCTAACTTCTATCCTTTTTGAGTTTTAGTAAAGTAAAAAAATCACCATAACGGAAGGCTATAATCCACGCTTTCGGACTAATTTTGGAAATTTCAGGAGTTGGTGTATGTCGAAATGTGTTGAGATGGTAGGAAATGCATCTTGGATAATGTTGTTTGGAACCACTAGTCGGTCTTATAAGGGATACACTAGCCGCTAAAAGGACAAATTGATACGACTAAGTGAATGGTTCCAACCACTTAAATGGTCTTCTAAGGTGTCATGGGGTCCATGGGTATAGTTACAACTCGACTTCTTTTCTTTTCGGGTCTGATAAAGTAAAAAAAATGTCCAAAATTAAAGGTTATAACATATGTAATCAGAACAATTTTAGTATTTTTGGGATTCAGTGTCGAAATACTCGGAATTATAGGGAATACACTGCATCCCTGGGTAAAATAATTAGTAACTTTGTTTGGAACCATATATATGAACACGTGTTGGTCATATAAACTCTCATGGTGGTCTTGAGTTAATGAAAGAAGACGTAATATGAAAATAGCTAAATTGGCAATTTAAAGACAGAGAAGACAATTTCAACCACCCAAATAGACTCTCGGGGTGTCGACGTGTTGTAGGGTGCATAGGAAGCACTTCGACCTCTTTTCCATTTGGGTCCAAAAAAGACCAAAACTGAAGGCTATATAATCCACCTTATTAGCCAAATTTGTAGAAAATTTTCTACATTAATTGATTGGAACACGCGCAAGGGGTGATCCTGGCCACAAGAGCGCACATTGACGGCAATTATGTCGAATTCATCATAGCTTAGAGGCTTAGCTTGGTACGAAGACTCGACCATTACTTTAATTGTTAAGACGCAGGTCCGATCCGACCTCAATTAAGCCTATTGCCTCCTATTAAATACGAGTTTGGGCCATTTACCCGTCACTATGAGATAGTCCACTTCCAAAAATCGACCTAAGGATGTTCTATCCCAAAACCAGATGAAAATTGAAGAAATAGCACCCCCCCTATTGTTAAACTCTCTCTCTCTCTCTCACACACACACAATGGGGTTTACTGACATGTGTGGTTTGGAAAATTTACACTCCAACTCCAACACCTCCATACTCCTGAAGCTGATGTCTTTATAAAAAAAATGTGCAAATGTGCAACTAACATGCCCTAAACTAGGTTACATGAAATCTTATCCTAAATCATCATACAACTCACTTATATATCATAGCATGTTTTAACTAACAATATACAGCAGCAAGCCAAGGATATAAATATATGATGGACTTTTATTTTAATTTCTTCCAACGAATTTATTACTACTTCCAAATCACAATTACAGATACTAGCTAGATCATGCATTCATGTTTGATATTTCTAAATGGATAGCTTGTTTTTTTTTTTAAAAAAAAAAAACACTTATTCAAATATACAATCTAGCTCTAAACGATGCCAGTTGTTAAGCCAGTTAGAATTGTACATAAATAGGGAGAATCCTTAAATTTATACCAAGTTTACAAGAGAGACATATATCTTTAATTAAAATTAATCAAAATACTTAATTTGTCTTCCAATTATATTACTCAAAATGGAGGAGAAAACGACTTTCTACAAATCCAAGAAGAATGTAATTGCCATACTTTTTATCCTAGCTATAGGTAATTAATTATCTACTTCAATTTGTAATTAATTGAATATATATTAGTCAATTATTAATTATTTAGTCGATCAATATTATTTTTGTAAAGGTTTGATAGTTAGACCTACTCGAACTTTAATTCATTTAAGTATTAATGATTTGTTCAATTCGGGTGATTATCAAATTATGGTGGTATCAAGAATGACGATTATAAGTGTAAT